CACTGGTGTTTCAGCTGGTGTGGATGTAGGACCTCGCTGAGCAGCTCCTGGGTGGAGCTTTATTGAGTGGCAAGGGTTACTGAGAGGGCATGGTGCATGGTGGCACATACCTGGAACCCCAGCACTTTGTGAGGTTGAGGAAGAGCATCCAAATTTGACTCCACCCTGTAAATTTAGAGACTTAGAGAGTGCCTGTCTCACAACACAAAATAGAAAAAAAAAAAAAAAAAGTAGCTCAGTACAAAGTCCCCAGGTTCACCCTCCTCAGTACTAGAAAAAAATATACCCTTCAGGTAAAACAGACCTGGTTTGGACAAGACTCTAATTTCAGTTTCTTTATCTCTAGAAAGGGTAAGGCTTACCAACTTTATAAGGTAGCTAAGGAGGTTAGAGATAAAACCTACAGCCGTGCCAAGCCGGAGCAGGCCTCGGAGAATCACTCAGTGAACACTAGGTGAGTGTTGCTGTTATTACTGTTGTTCTGGCTTGGGCCCGAACCCTCTGTGACAGCCGATCTCTGCAGGTAGGCAGGACCTCCTTGCCACAGGCCACAGCTGGAGACTCTTCCTTGTCTCCAGCTCCTTCCTTTCCCAAAGGAAAAAAATCAGGAGGCACACGGCTGTGTCAGACAGCACCCACGAGTCGTTTCACGTTCAATTTCCCCATCAAATTCACAGGCACGTACGGCATGTCATTATTCCACTTCCTAATGGTCTGTGTGGCGGCAAGTGTATGTAGGACGTTTCTCCGTGCCCTTGGCAGTCCTGAGCCTTCACAACTGTCTTTCTGGACCGGAGAGTCTTTCCAGCAGCTTCAGCCTGCCTTGCCCTCCCCCAAGGCCTGCTACCGTCTGCACCAGGTATCTGCTCATCTGGAAGCCGGTAACTCATCTTTTCGGAGAACAGTCTCTGCCCCTCCCCCATGAAGGGGCCGGGTGCCGGGTTCAAGGTCAAAGAGAACACTGTCTTGAGCTCCCCCTGTGCACCCTTCCAAGCTGCAGAACTTTGGAAAAGGAGGTCACTGTGCTTCTAAGGAGACTCAATCTCCTCATCTATAAAACGGGATGGTAACACAGGCTCACACCTTGCCAAGCCAAGTGCCGACTTCAAGATCAAGAATGGTGGGGAGGACTGTGAAGGTACCGGGGAAAGAGCAGCCAGGCCGGTGGAGCCCAGCCGCGGTGATTTAGCGACCAGGAGGAGAACAGTTGGGCACCGCAGGGCTGAGAAGAGAGCGCTGTCTAGCCAGAGATGAAGTGTAGGGCGCCGAGTGGAATAAAACTCAACACTTGCAAGCAGCATTTATCCAAGAAGGGCCAAGAGCGAGGGTGAAAGTCTCAGCCAGCTACACACTGGGCACCGCACGGATGAGCAGAAGTGCCTGTTCTGGCCCCCGCTGGACTGGATTTGCTCTCCCTCTGGTTCAGTATAGCCGGAACTAGACCACAGGACATCTGGCCAGGTCAACACAGGATCCTCTCATCTCTGACCCTTGTAGACTCAAAAGAGAAGATGCCTTCCCTCACCTGCAGGGGGGTGTAAGTATATTTTTTCACGTGCACATGGGTCTGCACCTGGGCACAAGTGCATGAATTGGGCACTCAGGAATGCGGGCATGTGTGTTGAAGACCCACACCTCCGAAGCTTCCCCTTGAGGCCTGGGCCTTTCTCTGCACACACCTCCCCTCCCAAGAGGCTGGTGTTCACTTCCTCTGAGCCTCAGCCCAATGAACAGGGCCTCCCCTGCCACAGGTACGGGGACTCGGCTTCCACCGGGAAGAACTCAGACCAGGCTTGACCAGCGTGAGCCCCTGGCACGGCGGAGTGCAAAGCCGCTCACAGGAGGATGGGCGTGTTGATTTGCACAGCACATACTTGTCTCTGCCGTGTGCCCCACCCACCCCTGAGACTGCGGAAGACTCTCAATTTATCGGAGGGCCCAGATTGGCAGCAGGCCGGTGCAGTCACAGCAGCCCAATATAGACTTGCAATTATCTTTTAATTTCACTCCTGTCTTCATTTGTTCATTTCAGTTTTTCCAAACAGAGACTGGAAAAAAAAAAAAAAAAAAAAAAAAAGCTGTGATTTGTGGAGTCTGAAGTCAGCCGCGGGCCCTGTCGTCTCCACCTGCAGCTGGAATAAGACCCAGGGCGTCTCACAAGGAAGACGCTGCCTTTCCGGACCCCAGGGCCCCTGTTCTTCTCACCCGCTGTCATTTCTTTTTTTTTCCCCTAGATCCAGCATCAGAGGCCACTCTGATTTGGGAAAGACAACCCAGTCCCGAGGTTAGCTAGTTTCTGATTCACCCAGGGTTAGATTTTCCATATGCAAACCAAGCAATCCAGAATGCACGTGCCAACCACCTCCTTCTCTAACCCTCTGGGCAAGTGTGGGCCCACCAGGCCCAGGTACCAGGCAAGCAAAGATAGGCCAGGTTGCTAAAATTATTCACACTCCCTAAGCCTACATCTTCCAGCCCTGCATCTCCTATTCCTCCTGCCTCTCCCATTCCTCCCCACAGATGGTAATAAAGACCCTCCCCTTTGCTTCCCCCCTCACTGCCTCTGCCTCCCCAGGGGTCCTGCATGGCACCCGGTGCCCTCTCCTTTCAGGAGCTGTAACTAGCTTCTGAGTTGCAGTCACCTCGGCATCTGTCTGTCTCTGCGTATCTGAATTACAATAAATCCACATCTGTAAGCCATGCCCTCAGTGGGCGGCAGAGAACTAGAAAGGAAGGTGGGCTTGCTAAGGAGGGCTTACCCTACACTCATTTCACAGATATCACTTCTGTCCTGAAACAAAGGAAGGTCACAGGAGGTGCCACACCAGGGCCTCCTGCACACCTGCCCTGCACTCAACCCTCGAGCCCCAGTCTGGAAATCTCTGCGCTTTGTCACAACTCTGAGAGTCCCCTGGGCTCCTCTTCTTGGATATTTCTCCTTCTCGATTCCTTCCATGTCAAATGCCTCCCTCACTGGCCCGTGCAAGCATGGTTCATGGGCTCTCTTTCTGTCCCTCCACCTTCTCCTTGCTCAGTTCCTACCCCAGCTAAGCTACAGTCTCCATGGGCAGCAGTCACAACTGTCCCTTCAACCCAGTGACTATACCCTAACATGCAGCCTGGTTATGGGGGACACTTGTTCAGTCTATGCCTCGCCCTCCCTTATCCCATTCTAAATGCTTTCTGGAATTTTTATGCCCAGATTTTGATAAATCACCTCATTAATCTCTCCAATGGGAGACATCATGACTTGATCCACTGTTAGAAAGAGTCCTTGACTTTGGGGGCCCTGCTTTCCCATCACCGACTGAAAGGCCAAGTCATAATGTCAGATAAACATAGGTCTGCAAAGCTCTGGAATCTGCAAAGGAGGACTGAGTCCCCATTTACCATCAACCTGAGAGGACATCAGAGATCCCATTGCCATTGCCAAAAAGTGGGTGACCATCTATCCCTCCCTAAAGGAGCTGAGGCCTCAAGTGCCATTCTTCCAGGTCCCCCCAACTGAAGACCCAAGCTACATTGGCTGTTGCTCTGCTATGCAGCCCCCTCTATGTTTGGGGGTTCACGGGTAAGCCCAGACCAGGCTCCAGCAGAAGACATGCTATACCTGGGACACTTGGTGACAGCAGATGAGCTGAAAGTTGGAAGAGGTGCAGGGAGGGAAAGAGATCCATTGAAGAAAACGCTGATTTGGGAGGATAGGGGACAGGGACAGCATGGCTTTTGATCTGACTCTGATGGGCCGGAAGGACGTCCACCAGCAAACCCAAGGAGGCCTGGCCTGCTGAGAGGGAGCCTTGGCCCTGGCCCAAAGGCGGCAAAACCGGGCACGCTGCATGGTGATCTGGAGACAAATTCAATGGGGTAAACTGAGGCTGGTGCATAGAAGGCGGTAAGCACTTGCAACAGGAATCAGGATTTTCTTCCAAAGTCGAAAACTTCAACACCAAATTCCTCCTAGATCCCCAGCGCAGTGTTTACTTTGTCTTTTTAACTAGGAGACACTATTAAAGATGGATATCGAGCGGGTCACTGCCTGAACACTCAGCTGCTCTAGACCATGGGCAGATCAGGCAGGGTGGGCCTGGGACCCTCGCTGGGTGGGGGTCCTCTCTTGACTTTCCCTGCTGGCCTTAGTATGCAATGAGAGCTTGAGACCCGTTCACTGGCCATTGGGCACCTTTAGAGGACCTTGGTGAGGACTTGGGCTGGGAAGGGGCAGAATAAGATCTGGACTTCAGATGGCCCAGGTGATAACAAGTCATACCAGTGAGGTATTAATAGCAGTGGGTGTGTGAGAAGGAGGAGGAGGAGGAAGAGGAGGAGGAGGAGGAGGAGGAGGAGGAGGGAGTCGAGACACTAATATTTACTGAGGCTTTGTGACACAGCCAACAGGCACAGCTGGTAAGTGGCAGAGCCCTGTACTCTGATCCAGGGTCCACAGCACTGTGGTATGGAGGCTGGGTGCGGTCAAGGGGTACAGGCCCTCCTCCAGCCAGTCACCATGGAAGGGAAGAGGTTGTGTCCTGCTCCTATGGGAGCTAACTCGATGTCCTTTCTCCACCCACATCTCAGCAAAAACCAGCCAAGCAGGAAAGGAGGGCAGAGGTGGTCAAGAACAGGTCAGGTGGTTTGGCTGTAGGCCCTGGCTCTGGCCTCCCTGCTGCGTCCTTGCTTGACCAGCTAAATGCTGACCCCCCCCAACACAAGGACAGGACCCATCCCCCACCACACTTAACGTGGATCCACCTGCTGCCTGGTGAGCCACACCCAAGCTGCAATTGCAGGGATTTGCAAAAGAGAAAACAAAGCAGACACTCGGACTAACCAACCCAAAGTCTTTCCTGGCAGAAGGTGACTGTCTGGTTAAAAGCTTCCTCCTTCTTCGAATACTGGCTGGACATTTGTAAGCTCTTCCAGCTGCAGGAACAGGTTGTGGCCTCAGCTGATCTGGGGCTGTGTCTCTAGGCAGACTCCGCCCTAACCCCAGAGGAGGACCCATAGAGGCTCACCACTGAGGTCTGTCATCCGTGGCCACAGTGGCTACTCTGTGCCAACTCCAAGTCACCTTTGCTCCAACTCTGCAGCTGGCTGGCCCCAGCCTGCCCAGGACACCCTCCCACTTGGCCCAGCAGGATCCAGGAACTGGTCCCCATTGGGCAATCATTAATCGGATTTTTGACATTCCTGGGCCCGGGTCAGCCTGAGAAGCATGTTCCCTAGAGGAGCAGAGGCCCAGGACTGGCATTTGGACATGCAGCTGACGGGCAAGGTAGTGCTGTCTGCCGTTGTGCTGCTCCTGGTGTCAGCAGCCTACGGACTATACAAGTCCAGGCCTGCCCGGGCACCGCAGAAGGGTGGGAACCCCAAGGCCAAAGCTGAGAAGGAAACAGAGGGCTCAGGGCAGCCTGCTGTCCAAAGTGCTTCTCCAGCAACACTCCAGAGGCGGCCGAGACGTCAGAGGGCCAGCCACGGGGCTGGAGCACCAGTGGGCTGCAGCTCAGGGGACCCAGGAGGCCCCTGTGTCCTGGCCCCAGGAGCCTCTTGCAGACACAGGAAGCCCCCAGGTGAAGGCGGGCAGTGCTCAGGCTCCGAGCAGGTGCCTCCGTGCTGCTGTGGACAGGAAGCCGGAACAGCTGTTGGCGGTAAGCCCACCCCTCCCTGCAGCTCTTCAGCTGAACTTACCGTGGCAGTGGACGGCAGCTGTGTGAGTAGTGAGCCTGCTACATGGCCAGACAGTGGGCCTGCAGAGCAGCCAGGGCTGGGGGAGCTGGGACCCAGGCACAGCCGGGTGGCCCCCACGGAAGGCAGCAGTGACATGAACCAGAACTGGGTTTTCAGCCACGTGACAGAGGTGAACAGAGAAGAGACCCGTACACTCCAGGCTACCTCAGACATGGGCCTGGCCATGCAGCAGCAGGAGGGAGCCACCAATGCCTTCTACACCTTCTCATCCATGGCCCGGGTCCGAATGGAAGAGAACTTCATACAGAAGGCAGAGGGGCTGGGGCCTCAGCTGAAGGGCAAGGTATATGACTACTATGTGGAATCCACTTCCCAGGCCACATCCAAGCTGGCCTCCGGGACAGCAGCTCTGGCTGGACCTCCCTCCCCTAGGCCAGCATCAGAGCCCCTGGGAACAGGGGCATCCTCCAGAGGCCAAGCTGGTGACACAGAAGATGGAGCCAGAGCAGCCGCCTCCCCACGGTCACCCTCAGCATGTGGCTTCAGCAGGAAGGAAAGTCTCCTGCAGATCGCAGAGAACCCAGAACTCCAGCTCCAGCCCGACAGTTTTGGGGAACCTGCTGCAGCCCACCCAGACCAGCAAACCCTGCCCAGTGCATCCGGGTGCAGCAGGGAACTCCATGTACAACTGGAGGACAGGACCAATGTCTTCCACATCCCCCTGAGCCCCGCTTCCACCCTGGACATCTGCCTGGATCTGGGCAATTGCTATGAGGTGCTGACCTTGGCCAAGAAGCAGGACCTGGAAGCCCTCAAGGAGGCGGCCTACAAGGTGATGAGTGACAACTACCTGCAGGTGCTCCGCAGCCCGGACATCTACGGGTGCCTGAGTGGTGCAGAACGGGAGCTGATCCTCCAGCGAAGGCTTCTTGGCCGAAAGTGCCTGGTGGTCGCCGACATGTGCCCTCAGGAGGACTGTGGCCGCCTCTGTTGCTATGACAATGAGCAAGATGCCTGGTACCCATTGGCCCAGCTGCCACCTGAGGCTGTGTCCCGCGGATGTTCTGCCTGCAGCCTCTTCAATTATCTCTTTGTGGTGTCTGGCTGCCAGGGGCCTGGGCACCAGCCGTCTAACCGCGTCTTCTGCTACAATCCCCTGACAGGGATCTGGAGCGAGGTGAGTTCGCTGAACCAGGCCCGGCCTCACTGCCAGCTGGTAGCGCTGGATGGCCACCTGTACGCCATTGGGGGAGAGTGTCTGAACACCGTGGAGCGCTACGACCCTCGCCTGGACCACTGGACCTTCGCCCCGCCTCTCCCCAATGACACGTTTGCCCTGGCGCACACGGCCACGGTGTGTGCCGACGAGATCTTTGTCACAGGCGGCACGCTGCGCTACCTGCTGCTCCGTTTCTCGGCCCAGGATCAGCGCTGGTGGGCCAGCCCCACAGGCGGCAGCAAGGACCGCACGGCCGAGATGGTGGCAGTCAACGGCTTCCTGTACCGCTTTGACCTGAACCGGAGCCTGGGCATCAGCGTGTACCGCTGCAGAGCCAGCACGCGGCTCTGGTACGAGTGCGCCACCTTCCGGACGCCTTACCCGGACGCCTTCCAGTGCGCGGTGGTGGACACCCGCATCTACTGCGTGGGGCGCCACCGCACGCTCTGCTTCCTGGCTGACCACGTCTCACCCAGGTTTGTGCCCAAGGAGCTTCAGCACTTCCCCTCCCCCCAGGGCACCCTCCTGCCCACTGTCCTGACCCTGCCTGGCCCCACAGTGCAGCAGACCAGGGTCTAGCACCCAATCTGCAGGCTCCCCATGACAACCAGAAGGCAGAGCCCCACCCCTGCCTATTGCTCCAGGAACGCAGAAATTTAGCCATAAAGAGAAGAATTCTAACCCCACCTCCTGTGGCTTCAGGATCTCAGATGTGTTCTTCTGCTCTGGGGGCTGCTGAGATCTGCTTCACAGAAAGAATAGTAAAGCTAGGGATCAGTTTTCCAAGGCAGAAAGCATTGCATCTGCAGGAATGACCACCATCTTGCTCCAGATCTGAAGTCTTGGGGCCTACGCCAGGACCCCCTCAAAGCTTAGAGCAATGCCTTACTCAACCACAGCTCTAGGTACCCTCAGAGGGCCCTTCAAGCTATTCCCTCTGGAGATGGGCTGGGCCCCGTGAGCCTCCCATGCCTCTTCTTAAACATGAGTCACTGGACTCACTCTTTAACATACCCAGAAGCACTGGGGTACAGGGAGGAACATTCAAAGGAAGTGGTTTGAGCAGAACTGGAAAGAGCTGGGGCTTCTGCGGAAGGAGAGAGGGTTGAAGCTGTTGACCGGCTGAAGTTGAAGGTGCCCACCAGTCGCTCTTGTCTGCAGAGTAAATTTGTCCAGCCCCATTTTTTTTTTTTTCTTGTTCACTGGAACTCTGTTCCCTGGGAGGAAGGAGAAACTGGCCATCTTCCCATAGAGATTTACTCACAATAGGATGGATTCTGTAAACTATGAAGTCTCAGGAAGGGAGGGCCTGGTGTGACCCAAGACCACCTTCTTCCCAGTCCCCTGCCCACATACACTGCTCCCTGACCCTAGCATTCTTGCCCCAGACCTCAGGATCCTTTCAGGAGACCAGCCTCTGTCTAGAAGCAAAGAAGCCATTCCCTGTCAGCTGGGGAGAGGGCATAGCAGGACTGGATCCCAGTGCAGCATGGGATCACCCCATTAGGCTCTCCAGTCAAGGGCAGACCAGGGAGGGGCTGATCCATCATATGGCTGTAGCACTGGACGACTCCACTGGAGCATCCAGGGACTCCTTTCACATCAGGTTTGGTAAATTCTGCAGTGGAGGAGACCAGCCTCGGGAAGGTATGCATTCTTCCTGGAAGGAAGGGAGCAGGGTAGGTCCATTCTACCCCCATAGCCCTTATTCTCTCTGCAAGGGGCAAAGATCTTGACGTCAGCCTGAAGCAGAGACATGGCACAGGACCTGGCATAGGAGAAGATAGCAATGCTTTGGACCTCAGTGTTCCTGCAGATGCTGGGCCCAGGCTGGGATCTTTGGAGAAGAAGCAGAATTAAAGCACAGCATGAGAAAGTTGTTGGTATGGAGATGAAAAGAGAGCTCTTATTGAACCACACAAGGCCGCCGCCCCTAGTCTAGGGCATGGGAAGACGAGACAGCTCACTGTATTCCTAGATTAGATGCTGGGAAGGAAAGCCAGCTAGGACCATGGCTGGCCCCGGGGAGAGAAACACTCAGGCATGGGCCTTCGAGGATGGGGCAGGAAGGATGCTGTCAGTGAGGAGAGGCAAAGGAGACCGTGACATTTTGATCCCAGGTGGGAGCGGGTGAGCTTGGAGGCCAAGTCCGTCCGGAAGTTAGAGCAGCTGAACCCAGGCCCTGGTTTGGAGCAGGTGAAGGAAAAGATGGATAAAGTTCAGGAAAGTTCCCAGACCCAGGAAGGACAAAGGATCATTCTAGGGACACATTTGGAAGCACACTGCATGCCTTTGGTGGGGACCAGGGAGATGATTGCCAGGGGAAGGCAGCATTTGTTCCAGCTCCCAGTTATGATGGTCATAATGAAGGGGAAACCTGAGACCAGACTGGCTTAGATGAGAGGTACGCAATACAGCTAATCCACCTCTCTTCCAGTCCCATGGCAGGCATCACTAATCGATGCCCTATTTTTTCCAGAAGAGTCCTTATGATGGCTTCAAACTATTCCCATCCAATGTTCCAGCAGTCCCAGTCCCAAGAGATCAGAGCTGGTGTACTCATCACCACTGATGTGGGTCTCTGGAGCTAGTTTTAGGAATGGAGATGTTCAGGACATCACGGTGAAGCAAGGTAGCTCTGGGAACCTAAGATGATCCTCCGGGGGCATAATGCCAGGATCCACTCACTCACTGGTAAAACAAGCATGTATAGACTATTGGGCCAGGCACTGTACTAGGGACTGGTGACATCAGCAGATCTCTGCCTAGTGGAGGGAAATGAGCAATTTTATAAAAACAAACAAACATAACAAAGAAAGCTTGGAGCCCGGGTCGCATGAATGCCAAGAGGAAAGGCTGAGGGAAGGGACAGCTCTTTCCAACTGTGTGATCAGCCTCCTCGATAGGGTGGAATGTGAGTGGGGACCCCAGTGGAAACCTGGGAGATGCACAAGCCGGCAAGGGGGAGGCCCACTCTTGCCACACCACGCCAGATGGAGAGGACCGGGCTGCCTCCCTGCTGCACCATCTTGGGGTAAAGGAGAGGCCCAGCTATTCTGAAGGTGCCTTGGTACAAGGGAAAGAATTCGACCCCACCAACACTTACAAAACGGACCTCTGGCATGGAACAAGCTGCGTCCCCTAAGAGAGAAGCGGAGTTTGCACATTTAGGGGTGAGAGTCGACGGAACACCAGGACCCTGCAGGTGTCACACCCCGTGTGCAACTGGGTAGCAGTGTGAGGGTGTCTTTTCCTAGGACGAGTCTAGGATTTCCAGCTGGCCTTGTTTAATAGCCTCAGGTCTCTTACCACACTCGTACCAAAGCCACAGTCGGCGTCTTGGAGAAGGGTGACCTCTATCACTTGGCTTTCTGTGGATCAACTGTCTTGCGTTTTTAATAGGCGCTCTTCTTTAGGAAAACAAAAATAATTAAGTCTGAATCGCCTTCGAATTTAAGCCAGCCTTGCCTGGCATCGAAAAGAAAATTGGAAAATTGAGAAAAGTATATTAAAGAAAAAGAAAAAAAAAAAACCTCTTCATTTTTGCCACCCAAAGACGTCCCCTCCCGTGGCGCGCGCCTCTCCCCCTTCTTCTGGGCGGCTTTTGTTCAGCTCGATTTTTGCATAGGTGTGATTATGCTGAGTGTACAGTTCAGCTGCTTCCTTTCTTCACGTAGCATTTTAGAATAAGCATTTTCCTGTGTTATTACAAACCCTCGGTAAACATCATTTCGATAGCTGCGCAATATTCTGCCGAGAGAATGTATCACGGTTTATTTAAGCATCCTCCTCCTCCTCCTCCCCCCACCCCCTTTGGGCCTGTGGATATTTTTCCCGGCTGGTTTCTTTTTGTATCATAAATAAAATGTCCTTTGTTTTCTTGTCTCCTTTGTGGGACTTCTATCAATATTTACAAGAAAAGCCCAGCGTAGGTCCTGTATGGAAGAACAGAGTTGCTGGAACAAACACAGAAGCCAGAGCAGCATTTGCCTAGAGCTGGGGCTGTGGCCAGGTGCAGGGAGCTCTTTTCCCTTACAAATGGGGAGTAGCTGATAGGTTTGGGCTCTCGTGTAAGTTGCTAAAATCATTATGGTGGTCATCTTATATGGCCAATGCCCTTAAAACAAAGGCCCTCGCTCCCAGGACCACCTCCCCCTTCTTCTCCAACTTAGCCCAAGACATAATTTCCTTTCACCCTTCCCGCCGCCTCAGGGAAGACCCCCAACCAGCTCCCTCAGTTATATCTAAACATCCCCTCCAAACTCCACCCCTGGCAAAGGCCATAAAAGCCTCAGCCTCCCTTTATCTAGTCCAGAAAATTCCTTGACCTCCCTCAAAGAAAATAAAGCCCCTTTCCCTTTTTCCTTCTGCCTGTTTCTCTGCTGCACTGTTCGCCTGAAAAACACCTATCAGTAGCCACCCCACGGGGCCTGGGAGAACCAGCCTGCGTCTTAGTGGCATATCTGGAGCGGCAGCCAGGCTCTGCTTGCCTGTGTCATCCTTACCTGGAGGAGCTTGGTGGCCCCATCCCCCTCCTCCTCCAGAAGTCTCCTGAAGCTGTGGCTGCAGCCAGCAGCAGTGCCCTAGGCGGGTGCAAGGCTGTGGGCAGAAGCAGGAAGATGAAACAGTTGGAAGGAGACACCTCCGGGGAGCCGGAGTGGAAGCAAGGAACGAAGCCTCTACAAATAGCTTCTAGCCTGTGGTCGTTCGAAAGGTGGGATGCAGGTCAAAATAAAACAAAAATGAAAAGCCACAGAGGAGTCTCGCTTGTCTTTTTTGTGTGCAAAGGAGAGGTGGAGACATGGATTTTGTACCAATAACAGCAATGTTCTCAGCACCAGGCAGCAGGCAGACCACTGGAGAGGAGGTAAGCAGGGGTCCTGCGCTGAGTCTGCAGAGCCCTGTGGCCGGCAAGGGCCTCTCACCCTCATGGTACAGAGAGAAATGGACCAGGCTCTGCCCAGAGTTCAACATGACTGCACAATACCTATTGAGTTAAATGATTATTAATAATTATAACACCAGCCTTTGTATCTCTCAAATCCTAGAGGACAGAAATGTAATCATGGTTAATCCATTTATTGACTCTCAGGGCTCGTAGCTTTCTAGTCATACAAGCTCATTAGTTTTAAACTAATTTTTATTTTTTACTTTGAGACAGAGTCTTGATAAATGGCCCAGGCTGGGCTTAAACTTCCAATGCTTTTACTTCTTCAGCCTCCCAAGGCACTGGGATTACAGATGTATGCCACCACGCTAGATTGATTTTTCTCTTTTTAAGAGACAAAATCTCACTATGTTGCCTGGGCTGGCCTCTAAGTCCTGGATCCTCCTGCCTCAAACTCTTGAGTAGCTGGGACTATAGTCCCATGCCGCCATTCTTGTTTTCTGTTGTTGTCTCATTTTACACTCACGACAACCAAGGTAGAGAGCAAAACTGGCCAGATTCCCCCCTTCCCATCAACCTCTCTGCTGCTGGCATCTGGTCATGTGACTTGCCCTGGCACTCTGGAGAAGTTGCACACTCGATGTAGCAGAAGGTTCTGTCTTTCATGGTTCTTGAAAACCCTGAGACTGCCACCACGGGGACAAACCCCAGGCTGACCTCTGGACAATGACAGCTGTATGGCCCAGTCACTCAATTAGAAGCTAGCCAAGCATCTGACCAGTGAATGAGATCCTACATCACCCACCGACCACAGGACCCCCACCAAACCCAAGCCAGGTTGGCAGAAGATGCACCTGGCTGAACCCAGCCCAAACCCCTGATCCACAGATGCCTGAGAGGAACAGGTGGCTGTGGCCTCAAACCACTGAACCTGGGGTAGTTTGCAGCATAGCCACCTCAGGAACAAGTGGTCAACCATCCTGTGGGGTATGCTCTAGGGTCACAGTCCCAAAGCTGAGGAGTCTAGAGCCCCAGAAAGCAAAGCAGTCTTTCCAGGGTCACACAACTACAAAGAAGCCAAGCTGGGAAGCCACACCAGGTCTACCCACCTGCAATCCCTTCGTTCTTCATCCGTCAGCCACAGTTCCAGCTCTATTCTACCCCCAAGGTAGAATAGAGGGATTGGGGTCTCACCTGGAGGCAGCTATGAGGCCTGGCTTCAAGCCTCTGTCTTCCCCTAGATCCAGGGACCACTGGACATAGGGGGACAGATGTGATACAGCTCGGAGGAGCATCTAGAAAGGTCAAAAGATCAGCTCCTTGAACCATCGCTGCTAACTTCTGCTGAGCAGCAGGCTCTTCTGCAGACACTTCATTTGCAGTAATTCATTTAATTCCTGAAGCAAACCTCTTTGTTAGATAGTCACTATTTCACAGGTGGGGAAATGAAGGCACAAAGTTTAACCTGCCCATGTTCACATAGCCAGGAAGTGATAGAGGACACAAGGGCAGGGCAGAGCTGCTCCCCAGTGTCAGGAGTGGTGAAGCAGCTGTGAGAATGGGTGGCTTTGCTTGTCTCCCTCTGTGAGTTGCTGGGTCCAGGCTCTATGTAGATACCCTGTGAGTGGGGGCCTTGGCTATCTGTCCCATTCAGTGTTGTGCACCTTGGTGTCTCCAGTGTCCAATTCAGGATCTGACTCAGGGCAGGAGCTCAGTGACACCTTATTGGAAGAAAGAATCAAGGTGATAAGTGTCACTCTTGAGTGTGTCCAGCTTCCAGGCTGACCAGACCCCTATTGGTGGTTAGGACCATGACTTCCTGCTGATGCCTGGGGGGGACCCTCGAGCATCTTGGAGTGGTATCCCTGGCACTGAGGTTATAAGTGTAAAATCCTGAGGTCACTTGCTGCATGTCACAGCCTTTGTCACTGTGGGGCCAGCTTCAAATCTATTCTCGACCCATCTCACAGATGGCATAGGGAAACCTCAGTGTTCTTGCAGCTCTGAATATATCCTCTGAGGATGCAGAAACACAGCCTGTGGCAGCCCCTGGGGACCCCTGTCCTCGATTCTGTTACCCACATGACACTTCAGCCTTTGTCCTCAGGCCAGTGGGCCTTAGTGGTCCCTATAGTGGTCCCCGGTAGTTACCACAGGTTTGTTTCTGTCCTTGGTCCCCTTCAAAGTCTGTTCCACAGCAGATCTGAGGGAGTCAGCAGAGCTGTGTGCTGCTTCTATCATAGCCAGGGTTCACAAAGAGAACAATATAGGACACATAATGATAAGAATTATTCTATAATAGCCACCCAAACAGTCACATATACAAAGAGGGCAGGAAATCTGTCCACATACCAAAGACCAAAGAATCCAGCTAAGGACTGGATCCCCAGCAGTGTCCTGCATGAATCCAGCCGAAGACCTAGAGCTCATGACAGTGCCCCCCACGAGTCCAGCTGGAGGGCTAGAGCCCACGACAGTGCCTCACATCGGTCTGTTTCAAGGATCTGTTCAGGGAAGGCCCAAAGGTCAGTGGTGGAAGCAAGAAAGTCTGTGCCAGTGGGATGCAACATCTGTGTGAGTGGACTGAGGGGTCTGTACTGGAGCTAGGAAGAGATGCGTAAGGCAAGCACCAGAGCTCCCCACAGCCCTCCCCAGCGGCAAGGGCCAGAGCCCTTCCAATGATGAGAACAGTCAAGTTCACTGGGAAAGCCAGCATGGCAAGCTCCTCCAGGAAAACCAACAGCTCCCTACAGCTTCCAAATGTCTTCCTTTTCAGTTCTGCCTCTTATGCTGGCAGCAATAACCCTCAGGTGGGACATCTACAACCAGTACTACGCAGGTTCAGTTCAGCTGGGTGTTACCAGTTGACCACCAGTTATCAATCCACCACAGGTTCCCACGTGGCCACGGGTAGCCATCCTGCCCTGCCACCATCCCATGCACTGTGCAGCAGCTGCATCTCTGACCTTTCACGTCTTCTTCCTGTTCTTCCACACTGCCCCTAACACAGTACATGGGGTCAGGGACAATGGCCCGGCTTTGCCCCCACTCCATGTTGTGGTGCTAAGCTCAGCTCTGCTCCTGTCTCAGCAACTGCGGCCCACCCAGGAGTCCCCACACTGCAGAGAGAAGCTCTGCCTATGCAATAGGCAGCCTGGCACAGCCTGGGGGTTCAGCATGTCCTGGAGGAAATCCAAGCAGTGACAGGAAGATGCTGCTGGTGTATAAATACCCAGTTCCCTAAGCTCCACGAGAGACAGCGCTGATGTTCTTCACTGGCTTCCCAGATGGCCCTGTAAGACTGGGTGCATTTTCTCTGGTAATAGCGATTGCATGGTATCCTGTGTGTGTGTGTGTGTGTGTGTGTGTGAGAGAGAGAGAGAGAGAGAGAGAGAGAGAGAGAGAGAGAGAGAGAATGAAACCCAGGGCCTTCATATTGAGCTGTATTCCCAACCCTTTTTTGAGACAGGCCCTCCCCATGTAGCTGAGTCATTCAGGTTGGGCTCAAATTTGTAACAATCCTGCCTCAGCCTCCCAGAAGAGTGCTGAGAGTCCAGGCCTGGGCCATCACTCTGGGCTGGTGAGATCCTTTTCATAAAATCGCATCCGACCTCCCTGTGGAGCCTCCTTTTGCTCCTCTGCCCTTCACAGGGCCCAGGTGTACTCCCTCCTCTGGGACTTGACCTCAGGAATACCAGCTGCCTCTCCCTAACTCTGGAGGGTTCCAAGCACCGTTTGGCTCTAGCATTATTCATCTTAAAAGAAAAGCCACTTTCATAGGACCAGCCTGGTGACACAATAAGAAAAACTGTGGGTCTGCATCAGGAGAATGAAACCACCACACACTGTGTTAGAGGCTGTCTTCCTCCACTGTAGCTTTTTGACACCTTTGTCAAAGGTCAGCTGGCTGAATATGCCTGGGGTTGTTGTGCATCTTCTATTCCATTCCACTGATCCTGTGTCTGGTTGTTTTGTTTTGCCAGTGTCATGCTGTTTTCA